GACCAAATCATGACTTTTCACAGAAGATAAGCATCCAAAAGGCACTGAGTTGCTACAGCTGGCAAACAAATGCTCCCAACTTAATGATGCCAAAGTCGTTTCGCACTTGGTTTGGGGCAAAGATTAAAGAGTACAACAGGATTCAGTCACAATTCAGGTTACCAACTATTCCTGAGATACAAATTATAGTTGATAAAGTTGCTTAGGAATTTATCTAGAGAAATCTGTAATAGAATAAAGGAGTTATATCTGCCCGGCATTTCATTTGTCTCAATATCTCAGAAGCTCTTTCTCAAAGAAGAAATATTTGTCTATTTACTTAGTCCCAGGAAGCGAGCAAACAGGAATGAATGTTAAGTTTGCCTCTTTTAAATAAAACCTGTCATGTGATGTTGTCCTCTGATCTCATCATAAAAGCTTTCTCTGAAAAATTAAAGGTTAGCTCATCAGGCAATAAATGCAAGCAATTTCCCCTCACTGTTGAGGTCATGAGAATTTATCATGGATGAGTATTTATTTTTAGCCACTTTCCCCATCGCACCCTTTATGCTATCATTATCATAGTTTGGGGGTCAGGCAGATTGAGCATAATGACAGAAGGAAACTAATAGTTGAGTAGCTCCTCTGTTTAAGTAGGCAGAATTGTGTACTACAACATAGTGATTGTTCAGCTACCTTACCATTAACAACTCACCAGGAACAGAGCTTCATCTAGAAAGACTCAGAAGCATCAAACTGACCGAAATCCGGAAGGGTTATGACATACTTTAAGCATACATTGCACTACAAATACTGCAACATGTAACATCAAAGAGTAAAAGGCTAAAGACTGCTTTGCTGTAGTTTAATAGAGCATCAGTAAAAAGACAGTTTTCTAGTCAGAAGGTTTACTATTATTTAAGTCTGCATCTCAGTTGTTTCAATTTTCTTTCCAACCTCCAAATAGTACCATTTCTTCATAACTTCCACTAAGGTTCATGTACAAAATGAAGGCTGCAACCTGTCAGAAGGGTATTTATTCCTACATTTTTACACTACCTGTACTGAATGAATACTAATAAAGTTGTGTGCATGAACACCATCTCACTAAGAAACCAAATAAGCAGAAAAAACATGAGGCTTCTAAATTAAATAAGTGCATGTAAAAAAAATAGAATACTAATTTAAAAAAACACTAGTTCGGGTTTTGTTTTTGTTAGTTTAGTTAAATTATGCAAGAGCAATCTGGGAAACTCAGAGTAGCGCAGCAGGATAATTGTGTATGGTCGTTTAAATACCCACCTGCAGATGCAGGAGCCACGTACAACCTTAGCATTGAGATCAGCCTCATTTTCCATAGGTCAAAGGCTAAGGGACTGTTCAATCAGCCAAGAGCCAGCAAATATAAAAGCATAGTAGACCCAGACCAATTACACTTCACAGAGATTTATCACTAGGAAATGTTAATTAACATCTTTACTCAATCTAGACTTCTTTTAGGAGATAGAAAGTTAATTCTACTTTGCAAGTCACAAGAGTTCTACCATCTGTTAACATATCGTCCCAGTCTCTGCTTTCCCTCCTGCTTTTTATTTGAGGCAACTAGCAACTGTAATATGGACTGTAACTTCAGATACATTTCAGAATGCATTAAAAGAGGCCTTCATAAAATTCATCCCTTGGAAGGTATCACCTACTTCATTGGGTTTCTGTTTGCTTGTTTTTTTCAGTCTCACATCTCGACTATTTTCTATAAGGAGCTTTAGAATCTAGGAATAAGGCGCTGAATTAATCCTCCTACTGCTATCTTCCAAACTATGACTTAAGCAAACATATCTAATGTAGAAGCTGAGAATGTCCTAATTTAACTAAAACTTCAAAAACCTAGCAGCAAGAAAGGGAGAAAAAAAAATGTGTGGGTGGTGGAGGGTAGCGCAGGTTAAGTGGCAAATAAAGCACTGCTTATACACAAAAGTTACACCTCTATCTGGAGAGCAAGTAATAGAGTTTGATCCAGAAAGCGGAAGGCAACTGAAAATAGCAAGAACAATTTGAAAGTAAAACGATAACAGTCTTTGCAGGTTGTGCAACTTACTGGTTCCCCATAAATATATTAACCAACCATAAACAGATCATCTGTGGAACATGGCAGAGATTATGAAACATCTTAAAATCAGATAGTATCAAGTTTTTCTTAAAGAACAAGTATATTAATACCCCAGTTTCTTTTATCTTAGTACCTTCTGCATTACAAAACATACCAGCTGAAACCTGTTCTGAAATCCAGCATCTAATGGCCCCAAGTACCAGTAACACACCTCACCTAAAACATTGGAGAAAACACAAATTTTAACAAGACTGGTATGAATTCTCTGTACTCTGTGGGATAAACAAACCTAGAAGATATGCATTGTAACCAAAGATACCATTGTAAGCCAGTTATCCATACAAAAATATTTAAAAATTGTATTTGCAAAGCATTGATCCTCAAAAATTAAAGCTCTGTTGTACACTCACTCAAAAACAACAGCGTTTAGATCAACACTATGCTGCACGTAGGCCATAGCGTTTGAGGGAACAAATGATTTTTCAGATTACTTTTATCAGCATAATCAGTTAAGTCTGTCTACAGAACATATCCTCTCTAATGCATATAGAAATAATAGATAGTTTAACAGCACTATAATAAAACAAACAATTTAAATAACAGACCACACTTCTTCTCTATCACTTTCTGTAGCAACTGGACAAATCAATACAACGAGGAAAGCATTACTACAAAGACATAATGACAAAAGAACCAGCAGAATAGGAAGGTGCTATAAAGGAAGGGAAGACTGCTCACCTATATCAGAAGATTCTAGGTTTGCAGGGGAAAGCTCTACCAGGCAGAGATCTCCAGAAAGAGACTCTTCCCCACTGGCAGTCAGCCCTTAAGTGGGTTTAGGAGAGGTGCAGCAGGTTCCACCCCTCCTGGTCACACAGCTGAATTGCCTTCACCTGTGTTCCCATTGCTGACTCAGTCCTTTCCCCAGGTGATCAATCAGTGGTTCAGGCCTGACTCAACACTTCCTATACACTTTTCAGTAAACACTTTGAAAGCAGGTGGCACAGCCACCTTGCTTCTTAGAAGCAGCTTTAATGCTTTTCTGTCCAGTTGGCTCTTTTGTGCTGTTCATTTTCTTATCAGCCCCACCTGAAGAAGCATACTGACTTTCACCTGATCTTCAGGCTCCTGCTGTACCATCAGTGTGGCATCACAGAAGCACATGCTGAACATCCAAGCCTCACTGTGGCTGATTAATGTTACCAAGCTGGTGAGCTTGAGCAGAAACAACACCATTCTCCCATGCAGCTTTTTAATTCTAGTGGTCTGAATTACGTGCCTTAGTGTATTGCAGCAAAAGTAGCATTCTATGTATGGCGATGCAGAGAAAATTCTTTCAGTTTAGGGGAAGGACTGTCACTAATCTTTCAACGAACAATTTAGGCTTCCTTCATAGAATCACCTCAAGCAGCCTTTTCTGTACATCCATTCTGATCTGCTTTTTGACTTCACAAGATTGGTCTGATTTCACAATTGTTTTTCATGATTTGGTGACAAAAGGCAGAAAGCAGTACTGTTGTTGAACAGCTTTGTTTGTTGCTGGACTAATAACCTTTTATTATATTTGCTTAATTGGTAGATAAAGAGATTTGATTGCCTTGGTGAAGGCAATGTATTTGTTCACACAATTCAACATGCATTTTCCCCATATACAATAGAGAAAGCAGTATTTTGTCTTGATGTTGTTCATATTTAGAGAGGATAAATGTCAAGTTTTCAACTCTGACTCTTGAAAAGTTACCTAGAAAAGTGGCCTAGGAAGAATCTATGAATTTCAGCAGCTTGTTTTCCAGACAAATGTAACATGCACCACTGCTGGCCTTGAGTAGTTAAGCTGATCCCTGCCAAACAGCTTCTGAAAGAGAAGATCAAGACAGTAACTGTACTTTAAACTGATGGTAACATCAGGCTGAAAGGTATTTGGGCTTGTAAAGAAGTGAGCTGTAACAGGAAGAGCTGCTGCCAAGTCTCATGAACAGGAAACTTTTTCGTTCTATCTTACATGTCATTTTGATGAAAGTTAGGCCTAAGGAAAACAGTCCTTCCCTCAGATTATCTTATTTGTACCTAAGAATAATTAAAATTTAAATTAAGAAATGAGAACATGTAGGCTTACAAACATAGGCCATGACAGATCTACCCAAAGAATTTCTGAAGAGAAAAAAAGGTCACATTGATTTACGCTGATTTAGTGACACTTCCAAAAGGAACTAACACAGACTATGTAAAAAAAGGGTAAAAAAATAAAAATTGAAGTAAATAATACAGTAAGAAGGCCACAGTGCCTGAACTGGATTGTAGCCGATCTATATTTAACAGTGATAGTTTGAACTTCTGTCCTACAAAAAAAAAAAAATGGAAATCATCAAATACAGAGAAGAACCAGACTAACCTTCATATAAAAAGTAGAATCCAAATACAGTTAAAAAGCCGTAACCAAGAGACATCAAATGGTAAGAACTACTTGATGCAGAAATAGCTAAGAAAAACACAAGACTAAAAAAAGAAAAAAAAGTCATGAAGCCCCACAGGTGCTATGTCTTCCAGTCATCAGTAAGAATATGGCACTGAATGTCACATGTGAGCATCTGACCTACCTCTAGCTCCATTCATTGTGCAATGGCACAGGTACTGCTACCCTCAGCAGCAGCCATCCGAAAAACATTCTTCCAGCAGTAGATGTGTACATGCAACTGCCAACTGAGAGGACTTCACCATGTAATATTTTTACTACTACATAGATTACGCTGCTGTAAGGAGGAAATCTTCCTCAGCTAACTGATAAAAGTTCCTCTGCACACCCACACAGGAGCACAAAAAGGTGAAGCAGTGGAGAAAGCCCAAATAATCCCTGCTTGCTCCCAGGCCCACCTAAGGAACCATCAGCCTCCCTCCCCAGAACCAGAGAAGCACAGGAGCACAGAGGCAGGTGGAAGCCCAAATTCAGGGCATCATGAGCCATGGGAACTGCAACAGGAGTATCACTCATTATGGGATGCAGAGGAAGAGGAGGCATGAGATTCACTACAGATCATTTGGAAGAGCAACCAGTACCAGACAAATATGACAGCATCCAAGTCTCCTGTTTCCTGGAAGTGTGCTTAGACTGCCTAATTTTCCACTCAGACAAATAATCCTCAGAAGAATTCTATTTGATCAGGATTTTTATTAGAATAAGCAAACAACCTAATTTAGATGGCATGTCTGAGAGGCTTACAAGAATAAGGTAGCAGTTCTAGGAAGCTTAAGCATTCGTTAAATCAGTGTGAATTTAACTTACGTTATACTTAACTCTCGTCGGTAAAAACTAGCCATCCCCTGAAGCCAGAGATTGTTTTCATAGTGGAAGCCATTTCTATGTCTTTTCAGGGTGATAAATGCAGTTTCCTTTTAAATCAGTGATGCTGTCACTCAGAGGGAGCTGGAGATTTTTTGTTCTTGTATTTTTTTTTTCCCCACTATTGTTTATTCCGTAATACTTTATTAAAAAAAACATCTTAAGACTTACTAGAATACACAGTTCTTTCAAAATACCACATAACAATGCTACTTTGCTACTATTAGCCTTGCATTCTCTGGACTTTGCTTGACATACAGACTGACAACTGAAATTAAAGCACTGAAGCAGCAGGAGACTCTGACCATCTTTGTCACTAAACAGCATTTGTATTCACACATCGTGACCATTACCTGTTCTGTTCTTGCTCAGAATCTTTATAGAACTGATGCAGGGGGATATTTATGTTTGCAAATAAACTTAGTTGGTGTTGATTATACTCACAAAACTTACATATGAATTAAGCACAAAGGTAATCAGAGTATAAACTTGGCTTCCACACATGCTGAAGAAAAGGAAGAAACAATAAAACATACGGGATACAAATGATGAGGACCCCTGTGGAGAATTTGAGTTACAGCACATTTGGACATAAGTTATTTTGATTTGTGCATGCACTCTGAACTACATACATAAGAGGTACGTAGTCCTAGAAAAAGAGCATCACTCAGCATTGAGGTGGCTAGAGTGATGGTGACAGAGAAGACCTTTGGATTTTGGGCTATACACCACACCACTCAATTCTCTCCCAGAACTTCCTCCCATTTTTGTTGTTCATCCTGTGTTCCCTCCTCACACTTTATTTTTCAAAGCTAGAATTCATTAGAGAGCAGTGGGAATGCGCAAAAACAAACCCCCTGCTCTCACACAGATATGAAGTGCTTACCAGAAGATGCACAGAGGTACAAACACTTGCATAGAGCAGAGATTCAAGGCTCAACAGCCCAAAGCAAGGGACAACAGAAAGAAGGCAGGAAACCCCTTGGTTTGATAAACTCGTTTTGGTCCATACATTCTATGGACCATGTCCATACATTTGGTCCATACCATTTCTAAATCCATATTTTTAGTTCAGTGACCCTCAAATGTTCACTTCAAATACACTGAAATTTTCCAATGGAAAGACAAGACCACAGGCAGCAAACTTACTGACAGTAGATCAGTCCTTTAAATTACTTCTGGATTCCTCAGAAGCAGCCCACAGTCCTCAGGGAGAAAGCCATTAATTTTCTATTTCTGACACTGCAAAGACCTCCAGTCACCTCAAAACTTTATTCCACAAGCTTTATAAGAGTCTTGCAAAACCTACTTTATTTTCAAAGAGCACAGCATATACAGTAAACTGTGAAGTATCCCTTCACATTTACCAGTAAAGCAATTGGCACTTAATTTTTTTTTTTTTTAAACCAATCACAGTAGTTCACTCAGTTGTATTACAGTGATTTTTCAGGGACTACTCAGTAATTCACAGCAAAAACATCAGTTCCACATTTCAACCGAAGTCTGTAATAGAAAACCCAACATTATACTAAGAAAAAGAAATCAGCAAAAATCCCACCTGAACAAATAACCCAAACGAGAAGAACTACTGAATGGGTAAAAGGCCTGTGTTCATTTCCCAAGTGATGAAATATAATAAAAATGCTAAATTAAGTACTTAAAACTACTAAATAGCCAAATTGTTGTAGACCAAGGCTGTTTTTCAGTCTAAAAACCATATGGGTGGATGTGTTTTTCTTTCATTTACTGGAAATAAAAATCATGCTGTGTCAGCATACAGACAGCTAAATAAAACAAGGGGTTTAAAGTTAAATACATGTTAAAAAAAAATCTACACAGAAAAAGGACATTCCTGCAAAACACTTAGTCTTCCTGTAAGGTCTGCTGATAAAAAAAAAAAGCTACCAGTTTACAGAAAAAGAATTTATGAGAGCACATAATCAAAACTGTGAGAAGACACTATGAAAAATAAAAGCAAATGCCGAAATAAGAGAAGAAATCAAAACACAGAATGAAGAAAGAACCAACAACTAATGTTTTCTTAAGTTAAGGATATGAGGATGAATGAAGATTAACCAACAAAAAAATACCAAGAAGATTAATTCTTACAGCTTTCACACACGGAAGTGATTTTTTAACAATTAAATACAGAAGCCACATTTTTAATCAAGAATTCCAGAACTCTTCTGGCAGAAATGAGCTATTTCTAAAAAACACACAGGTTGTAGCCACATCATAAATCTAGATAGATGCAAACTTAGGAAAAGAAAAATAACTGAAATCAGAATTTATTGTCATTAAATCTGATGTTAGAGTGCCCTCTTGAATCATGTATTTGAAAGAATCATGTTTCCTTGAATAATGCTTCAGTATTTGCAAACCATAATAAAAATAAACTACAGAAGTCTGAGGTAATCTATGAGGAATCCCTGTTCATTCAAGCATAATGGCACCAGACTCATTTCCCCACAGCTCATTCTTAATATGAATGCACAAATCCAATGAGTAATTCATACAGATATGATGCTAGTCTGTCAGACAGCTTTTGGAATGGCTCAAAGTGCCATACTCTGGCTATAGATATCCTTCCTCTCTTCTCCCCACAGTACAAAACATAGAAGATGAAGATGTTACCTCTGCCTACTTCCTCTTCAGATCTCAGAATGGTACTGCAATAGTGGTAACATTTTTTTTTTTTTTTAAAGTATGTTCACATGAGAAATGCCTTAAAAACAATACTAGTACAGAATGTAGGAGATCTCTGGTGCCTCATGAGACATATCCTTTATTAAAGTTAAAAGACTTTCCCTAAGCCTGGGCCCTGGAAGTGTTTTCCCCAATGATAATACTCATTCCCCTACCTTTTTTGAAATGCACTACTTTGATTTTGCATCTCCTTACCTGGCTACAGTTTACGAGTTACAAATAAGTAGCAATGCAGAGATGGAGGATGAGCTTCTTTGGAACAGTATTAGATTAAATGACAGCATATTATCACACTCCAAAGGGTAAGTCAAGAACTTAAAAACACCAAGTAATACAGAAATGCCTAGGGCTCAACAAATACACAAATCTGGACAAGCTTGGTTGAGACTGGAGTAGCCATACTGACTGTGCAGCATACACCAAGCAACGTGCATATCAGATGGCACTCTTGTAATCAAACCACTGCCCAAAGAACTATCATTTATTTTCACACAGATCAAGTTCTACTGAATTTCAGTAAAGCATTACTCATTTGGCAATGCAGCAACATTCCTTTTCTGCTAAGATACGTCAGGACAAGTAGCTCCCAAAACTCAGGTGATTCTACTAGAAAACAATCAAAGATAAACTATTGTTTTGTGTTTTATTTTTTTCCTCTGTGCATCTGAATTACCTTAATTTTAAACAGCAGCATGCATAGCTTGGGGGTTTCCTTCTTGTGGCTTTAGACTGGCACTATAATTTGATTAAGCCAGTTCTCTAAGGCTTTTTTAGTTTTCAAAAGTAACAAATTGGTACTTTGAAGCAGCACATCAATGAAATCATAATTATCTGAGCAATTGGAAGTGTAGCAATATAATTCATACAGTGAAAACTGAAGCCATGGTTATGCTCATTTGATACCTTACTTGATTAAATTCTAGTAAGTGATTGGGAAAACTGAAAATGACATTAAAAAAAATGCTTTCTCAGGTTCCCTGTATAAATCAGAGCAATTCGCTTTCTGTTTTGCACTTCAGCCATAAAACAAGAAATGCATTCCTTAATAAAATAAGGAATAAAAACCCTGTAGACCACTGCTTATTTGAGTGTAGACCCTTAACAAAAGGTATATGTCTAGAGTAAGAAACAGGCCTCTGCTTTGCTTTAAAAGCAATCATAAATTCCTCCTCGCCTTGAGAACAGCACTAAATGTTCTTAAAGCTCATGCCACCACATCATTAATTCCACCTCACTCTCTTCAACAAGTATTTCTGGAGCAGTAGCTGATAACTAAGAAGTCCACACCAGAGTCTTTAAAGCAGAACTGAGAAAATCAGATTTATGTGTTAACACAATAGACAAATACATAGCCAAACACAAGGCACAATATATCTGCTTCATTCCAGGCAATCTAACCTGAGTGAATGTCAGTGAAAGCAAGTAGCAGAAAGATGCGTCAAAGCAAAGCATGACAGGTGAGTCACACCTTACTTTATCAAAATCTTTTGCTTCTTCTTTACAAATATTCAGGAAAGGACTCCTGGCTCGGTTAGCTAACATCCCTTCTGTATAGTCTATTTTAGTAGAAATAGTTTCAGACATCCTTTGAGATACTAGTTTTATGGCCATTAAATGGATATTAAATTAAACACAGACATTTTAGGTAAGCCATTGTAGCCCAGTCCTATCACTGCAATACTTACATCTCTTAAATAACGTTGAAAGAGTTTAGTGCAGTTTAATAAGATCTACTAATGCGACACTGTAGTGAAATGCTGTAAGAGATGGTTCACCAGTAATAAGTATTCTTCAAGAGATAGTCTTGATGTTCACAGCTGCACTTGACCATATGTAAGACTGCCATCATCCTTTCCATTGCAGGATCCAGCACATACATTTGCTCCTTTCTTCTTTTTGTGTACATGAGATTCTACTGTACCATTTATTTTCAAGTCAGATACTGCAAGTCCAAGAAATACACCTTTCAACTGCTAATGAAACATCACAGGTTTTTTGTTGACCCAAAAAGCAGTGTCTGGTCAGGAAACAAATTCCTAACTTGTTCTACCTTAGTTCTACAGATATCCCACACGCAGAGGTCTGACAAACTTACATGGTCACTACATAGCAAAGTCTTCCTCCTCAGAGAAATTCAGAAGCTGACTGACACAACCCTGGGCAACTGACTAGCCACTCCTGCTTGATCAGGATTGAACTAGATTACCTTTGGAAGCCCCTTGCAGCCATTCTGTTGTTTTATAATGGGGCCAAGGTAGGCTATATCTTATTTTCATTCATTGTTAATTGGAGAAGATGGCCAAACTTTACCCAGGAACCAAAAGAAAAATCAAGTAAGCAGAATGTTACAAAACAGAAGTGCTGTAACCATGCTACCATGTTAGAAAAGAACAACCTTACAGCAGTGATAGCTCCCCACTGCAAATCACTATCAGTGAGAGTGAAAGAGAGAACTTGGCTTCACTTCCAAGGAAAAGCTGAGCAATGATGCCACGATTCTGCAGAATCTCAGATACAACAGCTCAGAGTAAAAATAAGCCCAATTGGAAAACTCATTGCTCATTTCACTATAAATCAGATCGGGTCTACTCAGATTTAATGAAGCTAGCCAGACCAACTTCCTCTGGAATCAGAGATTGTCTTCCCAATGCACCCAAGTAAGCAAGTTTCACACATGCCTTTTCCAAGGTTTGGACACATCAGAGGTGTGACTGTTCATGGCCAAGTAGATGACTTGTGAAATCTTTCCCAAATCAGAGACCTTAGGACAAAAAATCAGGGTCATCTGCAAATACCTATGCCAACAAGAGCTCATTCCTGCAATTTTGTCTCCATAGAAATAAAGATGCACAATCATAATGAAGGGATGCAATTCTGTTAATGAATATACTCATATTTGCTTGTTGCATCATATCCCATTTAAAAACACACATTTATGGCTGAAGTGCAAAATACCAGCATCTTCACACTCGGTTTGCATAGTTTGATGTATGATGTATATTGATTATGCTTGTTTAGTTTACCTAATGAAGACATTTGGGAACTACGGCTCATTTGAGAAGCCAATGGCACACCATCCCCAAAAACAGTAGCAAATGCTACAAAGAATCAAAAAGAATACACATTTTAGGTTAGCGAATTCAAGTATTTGAACTTACATGTTTCCCTTGGCATTACTATACCTTGTTTTACTCCATTTTCCATATCACAGTCATTGATTTCTGTAACGATTTCTCATTCTTTTATCAACCACATTACATCCTTTAACTCCACCTTTTTGTGTTTTCAAATAATCAGTGTACTCCCCATCATTTTAGAGAATATAGCCCTCCATACCCTGAGGTATATGTTGCATTACACTTATCATCTAACAAACGAAGTCAAAGCTGAAAATTTCAGTACATAAATACACTGGATGTTCAAGATTCTCTTTCTGGTGTAATTTTCAAGCTTCTTGCTTCAAATCCTCCAGAATGTTTCAAATCATAGGCCCATACAGTGTCTATTCCCTCTCCAGTTGTATGATCTGGGATCCAGCATGGAAATGGAAAACGACAAGCAATGATTCTGGCATTACATTCAAGTTCTTCTTTGAGCTTCTTCTCCAGCTCTGGCATCTGTGGAGCAGCAATACAATACTTTAAGAAACAGGGTAAGTCAGAAGCATTCTCTAATTCAAGTGTCTAAGATGAGCTCAAGGATTGAAATTTTGAAAAAAAAACATTAGGAAAAAAAAACCACCACAAACGACAAGTTAAGAAAATACTTAACAGATTCTAATTCATGATTTTCTTTACTCACGATTCTTCTCTGTAGAGCATGAGAGTTTAGCACCCTGACTTTACGCCCAAGCTGCATAAACTGTTTGTTGTGTGATATTCAAAAGCCAACACCTTTTACGATTTCCAGTCTAACCCCAAATCAGTCCTTGGAACACTCAAAATACCAGGTTTGGTCAGCAATCCAAAGCAAGTACTCTGCCAGCACTGCGCAGGAAAGTACTGCTGTGCTAAACAGCGCTGAAATTGAACTTTGTTTCCCCCTGCCTATTAACACACTGACATGAGTACCTTCAGCAGTACCATATGGAACATACTTTGGCTAAAGACCTGTTTGGTACAGTTTTCCTCCACTGGCTTTTGAATCAGCCCAATTTTTGCAAGGGGATATCATTACTCCTTCAGAGCCGAGCAACGCTCTGCCCAAATATTTTATCTTAAATATGCCAAAAATTCCATTATGGATTGCGAGAGATGTATTAACACATTTAGACTTCAAAAGAATTTCTTTTCAACCTCAGAGAGATATTTTAATCATAAAGAGAAGAAAAAATCCACTTTATAGATCTATCCATTTCTCTCCTTTGGAAAAAGTCTGATGTTATGCTTAAGTAGATCACTACATATCAGTTTGAAATTCTTTTCTACAAACACTATCATAGCAAGTAATTACAGCAGCAAGCTCCAGAATTAAAATCTATTTATGTTGATCTTTGATATACTTTGATATAATGGCATAGCATTTAGCTATTAAAAAGGTTAAAAGGACAGAAGGAAGGACACAAAACCAAAACAAACAGAACACTTTTTTCAGTCGGTCTTGTTTTCTAATATTTCCAAAATCTGAAGCTGATTGCTATTATCATACACATGTAAGCTGTACATTTTTGATGCAGCCTTCCACTATAGCTAGGTTTAGATTACAACTAAATATTTTAGTAAAATTATTCAGAGGTAACTCATTGGTACATTAGATCTATGAATAATGTTTTTAAGCATTGCATGCTCTGATTTTTTCCATATAGCAAATGCTTTTAAACATTTTTGCTACTATACCTTAAATAAACGAGAAAAGCAAGCCCAATTTAATCTCTCAAACTGAGCTAATACACCAGAAAAGGTAGGACTAAGTTGTTATAGCAATTACAATAGGTTATGTATGTGGACCTAGTCCAACCTTTAACAATTACCTCTCAAAGACAGTGACATCTCACATTAAAAAACTTCATTAATACTTCGGCCAAAAAGAATCATATCTTTCAGCCGAAGTAGTGTTAAGCTAAAACTCACAGTAGTTTTAGATGCTATCATCATACTTTAATTGGTATCAATATGATTTTATTGCTTTTTAAAATGTCTACACAGATATACTGTAAACCTTTTGTATAGAATACATGCAGTTAAAATTCAACAGAAGTTGTCAAAATGAACACCTGGTAAAAATTCTATCATCCCATCCCAAACAAATAAGTCTCTTTGCAATGGCTCACTGAAAAACATCATCTTCCCCCAGATGCTTACAAGACCAGAGAGGTCTCACAGTTCTCCCTGAAGATCAATACATCCCAGCTCTGTTAGCTAATCTTGGATGTGAAATAAAAGCACAGTGTGACAGCATCAAATCAGACCACTATTACTATAAAAGCTAAAAGATATCTACTGCCTTCAGTAAAAAAGAAAAAACGCATTAGTTTCTACAAAATCAATTTAGGCATTCAGAAGGCTAAGCATTCACAACTTGAAAAGTAAATTTAAAAGACAGAACAAGCAAATTAATTCTCACAAAACACAGTAGTTTGTATGTTTGGGTCTGTTACATTTCTGACGGGATTTTTATTGGAAGTATTCAGCCTGATATTTACTAGATTTACTGAAGTTATTTTGAGACTAATAGCTACTCTTTCCATCACATCTGTTACTAACTTACCCCCATTTTATACAATTATTTTAAAAATTCAGCCAGTATTTCCAGGGTATTTGTTTATTTCTAGTTTATGGAAATAGCTTTCTTCACCTGCACTTCTGCCCTTGGTGCAAATGCAGAATTACTGACTCCAGATTCCAATCTTCACACTGCCCCCTCCTGGAACTCAAGCTAGAGAACATGCAACATTCAAACCTGGAAACATCTGCAGCACGAGCACTGTATTAGTTCTCACTAAAACATCACTAGAGAAAAATAATAAAGTAAAAAGTAGTGCATTTTCACTTTGGTTTTCAATGTGAGTTTAGGTGTAAATGTGAAGTAGGCATTTAATTCCAATACTGTCAAAGAAAAAGCAAACAGCAGGGAAACATCCCTATGCTACTTGGCACACGCACCTCCCTTTTGCTACCCCAGCAATACTATCAGTGTATAATGCAGAGCATGGCATCACGTAGAGCTCTGCAGCCATTTCATTCCACATCTGCCCCAGCAGAAAAAGGAGCAATACAGAAGCATCTATAGGATATTTCCATTTCATTTCTACGTGTGCATTCAACCTACGTAGAAAACATTAATAAAAAAATTAATATAGCAAATCTTAAGATTTTTTTTCTCTATTCTAGTAAAAAAAGAAAAATAAGAACTAGATAAAGGTAAAAGAAAACCCTGACTAATCTAACACACCAGATAAACAGCATCTATGCAACAATACCTCTATCTTGAATAACCCATTTTCGCCAGAGACGAGATCAACAAAAGCTACAGAGCTCTCCTAAAAAGAATACGTGCCTTTATACATACTACACTTGAAATATCTGCCTCCCTTCCTAAATCCTCACAGTCTAACACGAGCAAGGGATTATTTCAGTACACTAGCTGCTGGCCTGATTGGAGGTGATAGCATTTTTGGATAACACAATGGAAGTTCAACACTGCACAGTAACAAGTTCAGAAAGCAGCTGTAAACAGTTTGCAGGGAGATAGAGCAGGGAACATAGAACATTTCTTTCCAGCGTGAAAACTGAAACTTTGAAGAGCCAATCTATCACCTTCTCAAAGCAACTTCAGCACAGCAGTTTTCATTTTACTTCTGACCTTGACTAATGGACAGTAAAGACACCAAAAACAACTCCAGTCTGTATATTGCCACAAGTTTTATCAGGTTTTATCACAAACATAAATAACCAAAAATACCCAGATATTAGTACTACCTTTGATGTTTCGTAGGTTAATTTGTTTTGCAGATGAATTGGTTTTGAAGCATTTAAACAACACAATATTGGTAAACTTACCATTTGAGGTACCCCAAAAACAACAACATTTGTATAACGTGAAAAAGAAACCTAGAAGAAAATATAACAAATCTTAAAAATATATATGAAAAACAACAAAAAAACCCCAGCATTTATAATTTCAGAACTTCTCATTCTTCTACTGTAACCCTCTAACTAGTCCTTTTAACACTAACTTAATTCAAAAAATACCAAGAACTGAAATCCTGTATCAACTGCACATGAATATACAGTCAGCTTTAAAATGCCATGAACTAGAAAACTAGAGAACTACAGCCTGGTCAAGAATATGGCATCAGTTCCAGGAGGACAAAAAAATCCTTGTGGGATTTCACTCACTGCTAACTTTTGCCAGAACTCCTATTTATATTGAGGTCTGCTATGCTTATCCCATTCTGTTAGATGTTAGCTAGAAATTGAAGTTTCCCATTCTAGTGCCTGGGTTCTTCTCACAAGCGCCCAGTTTTCAAACACTCCTTTCTTGAATAGGAGATAAAAAGAGTACACTCACACTTGTTCACTAAATTCCTTGCATTCACTTTACCAGTTATGAAATACCACTTGAAGACTGATAGGAATAGCTGGAGAGAGACAAATACAACAACAAAAAAATCTAACTGAAGAAGCAATTTTGATCAGAATGATTGAACATTGCAAGAAATTCTCAGTTGCACCTTAGCTTAAAGCAACACTTGAAATCCCGTAACACACTGCATAGAAGAACACGCATCTAAGGAAATATCAAATTAAGCTTGTGTGTTACTGACTCAACAGAAAAGGGTCTCAGGGAAGCTTGACATTACAGCAGCCTCCATCACTCAACACACAGAAGTACAACACAGTATGCTCAAGGATCATAATGTGCAAGTACAGCAAGACACTGAAGCACAAAAGCAGAAAAGCACTGTGCTGTGTGGTGGCCTTTGCCTCTACAGTTTAAACAACTCTTCTCAAAGTCCAGTACAGCAACCTGTGGTCAGACAGCATTCTAGTTCTTTCAAAAAAGTAACCCCCCAATTCAAGTAAATCTCACAGACATTCTAGATTCATTCTTAGCTTCTTCACCACCTACCTTCCATAAATCTGAAATATAAAACTTGGCATTGTGATGTACCCCGTCCCTCCAGGCACGGTATCTGGAGTACCAGACTAACCAGGGATTTAACTCATAACCAACAGCTTCAAATCCCCTTTTTGCAGCTGCTATCACCTACAAGGAAGAAAAGGAACCTTCACTTAGAAACAAAGCGCTCGAAAGTACATTCACCTCAACACATAAGAGAAAGAAGACAAAAGAAGTTCCATTGAAACTGATATTGATACAAACAAAATAAATCACTTAAACGTGCACAGGACAAAGCTGCAAGCTTCTACATCTATGATTTACACTAAAGTTGAACTTAGCATATTCATGATACCACCTTTGATCTGAAAGAGTACTAGAACTGACCATGGAGACAGTGTAACACACAGTCAGATGTGCTCAGCGCATTTAACCTTGCTGAGAAGCAGTGATAGGCAGGCATTTGATAAGTCATTTTGGATTTCCAGCTGGGATCTTTCAGTAGAAGGACTCTAAAAGTATATTTCTTTGAATTAAATATTAAGACTCAAAAATGGTAAGCTGTATAGCAAATGCCTTCAAAAACAGATCAAAATTTGCCGATTTTACAGTTTTTTTTATTATTATTATTATTATTTTTAAGGTAAATACTAAATAAAAAGACACTAGTTCTTAGAAACGTCAAAAGACTGGATTCAGTCATCATTTAAAAGCTTCCTGCCAAGCTCTAGTCAGGAAAAGCCCAATTTATTACAAATTACAGAACAGACAAGGTGGAATCAGGAAGAAATGCAAGTTTTTTCAAACAACATCCCATGTCTTATCTGCACAAGATGCTTCATGCTATTGAAATAATGCTTCTTCCATCATGCACACTAATTTACAAGCATACTGAAACACATAACATTTTTACCACGCTTAAAATAAAGATACAGTCATATTTATCCTCCGATAACACGAGTAGGTACTAAATACCTAAGAATATATGAACAGAAGCTCAACTTTTTTCAAAACAGATGCACTAAGGCAACACCCAGCATCCAGTCTTAGACACCTGGCCCTCCAAGTGGTCTTCAGTTTCCATTTAGGTACTGATGTGTGCACACATTTTAATATATATATACATACAGACAAATCAGATGCTTCAGATGCTCAGGTTCTATATACGTACACATATACACATTCAAATTATGTGCGTCAAATGAGGGTTATGAGCCAGAATACTGACTAGAAAGGACATTAGGAATTGCAATTCTCTTGTACCAATGTGCTTTTCTCTGTTCCTCACACAGACCCAAATCCTTCACAGATTCTGATTTCCAAAACAAACTTTGCAGTATGGACAAATAGTTGAACCATTCACGTGAAATACGGACAAAGATAGCATTCAAGAACTATCTTTTTTTCCTTTTTTTTTTTTTCTTTACCACATCCACTTTGAAAAGGGGCAGCCAGCACAGCACAAAGATGTGAAGCCGGTAGCTTTAATGACACCATGACATTTATTTTTTTCCAATCCATCATTCATTTCTTGTTCTCTTTTGTTGTGCTATCACTTTTATACAGTAAGGACAGAGCTGCAGTTCCAAAAGGAGAGGGTTGTTTAAGCTCACAACCTCTCATACTACAGCTATAAACTTACACAGAATACAACTTCTGGGGAAACACAATACCAATACTTTAATTATATCTTTTTATGTGAAGAGCATAATTCTTTCAACGAACAGGGTAAGGTTATGATTCTAAACACTACTTTGTCAAGCTGAGGGTAAGAAAGGAACAGAACTATTGATCGCTCGCCCATACTGAATGTAAACCATTCTTGGGCTTGCAGCTTTGCACGGGATTCAAAAATAGTGGATGCCAGGGACAAAATATTCATAAAATAGGAGAAAACAGATCACAGCTGGAGTATTTGCCACATACTTGAGAAGAAATAGAGAAGGAAGATGTCTACGACTTACAATACGGCCATCCCCACTACCAATGTCAACTACAGAGCCTCTTCTGCCTTGTAACATCTTCAGGACGTTCTCGATCTGAGCTGAAGTTGCAGGAACGAAGGGCAGGCAGACTCTCCTCAGAGCCGGAACCACAAAGGGGGTGACAACAGCATACAATGCCACCAGGGTGCCACCAATGCCAGCTGTGATCCACAGCCCCCAGTGTCTTCTTCCAGAACCATCCTCAGAGCCTGCTGGCAAGGGGCTCTCTGCTGTTGGGGCACCAGGCATCACACCTGAGAGCAGACATAACACCACAGCAGATTTACTGACTGCTCCCTGAACAGGAAAAGCAATACATCACTGTACCAAAGATGTAAGACACTAGGGGCAGGACAACCTCTTGTAACTCTTCAGTCGATTTCTAAGTGGTAAGTTTGTGTCTTTAATGAGCTAAGGCGCCAGGCTGTCTTTCTAGAGAGAGAGAGAAGCAGCTGGTGCTTAAGCCCAAAGAGGCTGCAGAGCCCCCCTCTCTGGAAATAGCCAAGACCACCCCGGGATGCCTCCCCAGGCAACCAACCTACCGGAGGAAACGTGCTTTAGCGAGTGTTAACGAGTGGGCCTACAGAAGCCCCCTACAAGTCTGAAAAGCCAGGGTCCTACCCGGCACAGGACAGCCCGAAAGAACCCACGGCAGCACACAGACCAAATACCACACACACCACCACCCATGTGCGCTGCGCGGGTGCCGCCTGCAGCGCTACTTATAGAGGACGGCAATACCACCCCAACATGGCGGGGGAGAGAGCGGAGCAGCGCCTTCTGGCTGCGCTCCGGGAGGTGGGGGTAGGGCACCTTTCTGAACCCGCGGTGTGTCTGTCCTCACTCCTTTTCTTCACGTCATCCCGGCGCAGGCCGCTTACCTCCTGTATTCTGCCCGAGGATATCCCCGTTCCTTCCCCCTTCCCCCCCCGCGCTGTTGGACAGCGCCGCGCCGCTACCACGGCCTCAGACGCTTCCAGAACGCTCTAGCCCAGGCGCCACATAGCTCCCAGCGGCGAAATAAGTCTCGGGGCGGCTCTCTGCGCAGGCGCGGCGCTAGGAGCGGGCGAGCGTGTTGACGTCACGACGTCACGACGTCACGACGCCACGACGCGACGGGCGCGGCGGGATCCGGCTTGTGCTCGGGTGGGCGCTGCTGCAGCCATGTCGGCCATGGGGACGCTGGCGTTTGATGAGTATGGGCGGCCTTTCCTTATCCTCAAGGACCAGGAGCGCAAGACGCGCCTCATGGGGCTCGAGGCTCTCAAGGTGAGCGGGCGTGCGGGCCCGGATCTGCCTGCAGGGGGGGACCTCGTTGGGCCGTGCCGCCGTTAGGCCGCCTGCGGCCCGCTGCATGCTTGGTCTGCCCTCAGACACACGCGGCTGTCCGCGGTGAGCTTACAGCCTGTAAGTTACCTTTGTATTACGGCTTGGGGCTGGGCAGCGACTTACCTGTTTCCTCCGTTGTTTTACAGTCTCACATCATGGCAGCAAAAGCCGTGGCAACTACTCTGAGAACGTCCCTTGGGCCCAACGGTAACAATGAAATAGCTATAGTCGTTCTTTTCCACTTGTTGTTTTCTATGGATTTCTAGCTTTTTCCACTCACTTTTTGAATTTTTTTTTTTTTAGGCTTGGATAAGATGATGGTGGACAAAGATGGTGAGGTGACAGTGACAAATGATGGAGCCACCATCCTGAACATGATGGACGTGGATCATCAGATAGCCAAGCTTATGGTGGAGCTGGCCAAATCTCAGGATGATGAGATTGGGGATGGAACCACTGGAGTCGTGGGTAAGAGCAAGTTATGCTTAATCATAGAACCATAAAATGGCTTGGATTGAAAGGGACCTCAAAGATCATCAAACTCCAAGCCCCCTGCTGCAAACAGGGCTGCCAGCCTCCATGTTTAATACTAGACCAGGCTGCCCAGGGCCCCATCCAACCTGGCCTTGAACACCTTTAGGGACAGGGCATCCACAATCTCTCTGAGCAGCCTGTTCCAGCACCTCACCACTCTCTTGGTAAAGAATTTACCCCTTATGTCCTTCCCTTAACGTGGGATTCCCAGTTATAAAATCATATTTTCAAATGTATTTTAAGAAGGAAAGTAGCTTTGCCATCGTGTATTTTAGAATATTTACTTATTCGGTACTCTTTTTGGTTTCTTATTTGGAGCATTTTAATTAGAAAGATGTTTTGTGACTTACTTTTTTACTGTGGTTGCGTTTGAAATCAGTGTTGAAAGTTCTATTTGTCTAAACTTATTTTCATGGTTTTCTGCCATAGTGATCACTATTGGCTTCTGTGTTTCTTTGGTGTAAATAATGCAGTTTTCTTAGTGAATATGAGTTTGGTGGTACCATTCTTTTTACCTAATAAATCTCAAACAGTTAAAATACAGAAGAAAAAATCTTAAGGCATACTTTTTAAACTCTTGACTGTGTATCATGCCCCCATCTGTGGGAGAGTAAACGTTTGTTTTTGAATTCTATTTTACAGTTCTGGCTGGAGCATTATTGGAACAGGCTGAACAATTACTAGATCGTGGTATTCACCCTATCAGAATAGCTGATGGTTATGAGCAGGCAGCTCGCATTGCTGTTGAGCATCTGGACAAAATCAGTGACAGCTTTCCAGTCGATCCACAGAACATCGAACCTCTGATCCAGACAGCAAAGACCACATTAGGCTCTAAAGTGTAAGTTTATAAAAGCTTAATGAAAGTATCTATGTTTTCCATACATACTCTTTTGTTATTGGAGGAGCTGCTGAAAGCTTTATTATATTTGCAGCAAATTTCTCAATGAATTCATATTTCAGGATAAGAAATTGTGAAGTCCTTATTTTCCAAGGGGCAATTTCGTGAAGTTAAACAGCTGCAAAATCATTTTCTTTCTACCCATTCTGTTCTGTATTACTCTATCTTGGTACTTAGAAACATTGAGTCCTAACGTTCAGTTATTTTTATAAAGGTAGTTTTTTTTTTCTGAACAGACTCAGAAAAGTTCTGGATTCACAATTGCGATTTTCATTACTGGTTCTCTTTCTATATATATAAATTACACCTTAGGGATGGAGATGCTTTTACTGTACATAATTTTCTTGCTATGCAGTATAGAATGAATAAGCATTGGTGTCATTTCTCAGCCAATTTTTGTCTGTTACTCTTTAGGGACCAACTTTTTAAGATACCACTGTGGGTTCTGTCCCTAAAATTATAGGAAAGGCATGAGAGAAAATTAAAGACAGAAAAATACAGATGGCTGTGTGCCATTTTTAATTACTTTGGGACAGAAGTTGTTACAAAGTGCAGTTTATGATTATCATCTTGTGACGCTTTGTAAGGTCTTTCTTGGCAGACCTGTGTTAACAGTGGTTTCTGTGACTTGAGTGTTTTGAGTAGTATTTAATTTTCCTCACTTGTTTCCTATTGGTGTCTTGAGACTATGTTCACAAAGGATATGTAGACAATCTACGATTTTTTTGTCACATTTAGCATGTTCATATTCCTGTGCATCAATGAGCTGCATGCCTTCTCTTCATGCAGCAAACAAAATATGTTGGCTATATATACATATTCTTTTTCTGTTCAGAATTGATAGAATTGGCTTCTTCTAAATATGCAAATATAACACAACTTTGTTGTATGTTCTTTAAATTTAGAGTTAACCGTTGTCACAGACAAATGGCAGAAATTGCTGTGAATGCTGTACTGACAGTAGCGGATATGGAACGTAAGGATGTTGATTTTGAGTTGATCAAAGTACAAGGCAAAGTGGGAGGCAGACTGGAAGACACGCAGCTGGTAAAGGGAGTGATTGTGGATAAAGATTTCAGTCATCCACAGATGCCTAAGGTGAGTGAATCCTGTGTCTGCATCTCATCTGTAACAGTTGAAATAACATTTAACGAGTAGCATTTAGGTTGCACTGATGTTTATCCTGTGGAAAGGAAGGCTAGAGGAAAGGATCAGTCGCACAGTCAGAAGTGTCTGTGAAAGTGAGTGGGTAAAATTTTCAATCTCCACTGCAGAGAGGAAGCGTTCTTCTTTTCTAAACACCTAATATTTAAAATAAATGACTGAAGACTGATGAGTGCTTAAACACTTGTGTTTTGAAGCTGTGGAATTTATTTCTTTCAAGTGAAATTTTTGATAAAATTGTTTGAGTATAACTGGCTTCAGCATAGAATCATTTAAGTGATCATCAAGGATCCTACAGTCTCTACTTTTTTAAAGGGAATGTCTGCATTGTGCAAATACAAGAAGAAGGTGTGACTGTCATCAAACTTCAACTTTTTATTATTGTACAGGAGCTTAAAGATGCTAAAATTGCGATCCTGACTTGCCCGTTTGAACCACCAAAGCCTAAAACCAAACATAAGCTTGATGTCACATCTGTAGACGATTACAAGGCTCTGCAGAAATACGAAAAAGAGAAGTTTGAAGAGATGGTGAAACAGGTAGAGTCTTCAGAATTATATTTCTGTATATATATTTTCGAGGCCTTTACACAAAGCAGCATAGTGCATCCATTTATTTCTACTGATAAGCTAGTAATCCAGATAAGAGGCAACATGTTGACGGTTCTAAGTGTATGAATGAAAGTGAAGTTTATCTAAGTAATAGATAACACTCCAGTTTGAAATTTACTTTCATTTCTTCGTATGTCTTTATGTACAGATATACATGTTTTCTTCAGACTTCTATTTTGAAAAAAATAGAACTAAAACAACAAAGAGGTTCGTTTATGAAATTCTTCATTTTTGTGTTGGTGCTGATTATTGTCATTGTGTGCTGCTTTCAGATAAAAGACACTGGTGCAAACCTTGCTATTTGCCAGTGGGGTTTTGATGATGAGGCAAACCACTTGCTGCTTCAGAATGAGCTGCCTGCTGTTCGTTGGGTTGGTGGACCTGAAATAGAAGTAAGTAAAATCTTCCCGAACTGGGATTTTTACCAGATCTCAAACCTTTGTTGAGTAGTCTGCTGTACAAGTTAGAAATTTAGGCTTTCTGAGTAGAATTATATTATTGCGATGTAGTACTGGCACATACTGAAGCAAAATCACTGGGGATCTGTATGTGCTGGCGTCAGTGGGATTGTGGTGTGTACTGGATTCCATGCATAATTGTCCTTATGGGTTTTATGTCGCTCGGAGCAATTTTGCTTTCTGTCTTGTTTTAGAATCAAGGCATTGCCTGATGGGAAGGTAAATTCTTTGGAGATATTTGACAGGTTCTCTTCTTTTAAAAATCATTGTGGAAAAGTCTTCTTAAAATAACTGATTGTTTAATTTCAGTTAATCGCCATTGCAACTGGAGGACGCATCGTTCCTCGTTTCTGTGAGCTCACACCAGAGAAACTGGGTTTTGCTGGTATTGTCAGAGAGATCTCCTTTGGCACAACAAAGGACAGAATGCTTGTCATTGAACAGTGCCAGAATTCTAGAGCAGTGACCATTTTCATCAGAGGAGGAAATAAAATGGTAAGGTTTGTGTCCTGGTTTTGGCTGGGATAGTTAATTTTCTTCCTAGTAGCTGGTATGGTGATAGTTTTTGGATTTAGGGAAATAATATAATCACATCAGTGATGACACACTGATGTTCTCCTCGTTGCGATGTGGTT